AATTACGCTACCGAGGAACCCCACATACTTAACTTAAATATTGTGTTTGCTTAAGTTTATAATCTATGTGCAATTCTGCGTTATCAGCCCTCGTCGCGAATGTTCCCCTATGTGTCATCCAACGCCATATTGCTTGAACCTCCTCCCTCTTCCTAGCCTTCTATCCTCCGTCGAGGACAGATTCGAGCCAGCCAGCGGCCGCGGTGAGGGACCACCCCCTGCGCACCCCCAGTGGTGTCGAGAAAATGCCGCGCCTGCTATGCCCTGGACGACCGTCGTGCATAGCGGCCGCGGTGAGGGACCACCCGCTGCGCAGCCTCTATGGTGTCGAGAAAGTGCCACGCCTGCTATGCCCTGGGCGACCGTCGTGCATAGCGGCCGCGCTGAGGGACCACCCTCTGCGCACCTCCTGTGGTGTCGAGAAAGTGCCACTCCTGCCACGATCTGCGAGCGTGTCACGGATAGAGGCCGCGCTGAGGGACCACCCTCTGCGCACCCCCTGTGGTGTCGAGAAGGTGTCACTCCTGCCACGATTTGCGAGCGCGTCACGGATAGAGGCCGCGCTGAGGGACCACCCTCTGCGCCCCCCCTGTGGTGTCGAGAAAGTGCCACTCCTGCCACGATCTGCGAGCGTGTCACGGATACAGGCCGCGCTGAGGGACCACCCTCTGCGCACCCCCTGTGGTGTCGAGACAGTGCCACTCCTGCCACGATCTGCGAGCGTGTCACGGATAGAGGCCGCGCTGAGGGACCACACTCTGCGCACCCCCTGTGGCGTCGAGAAAGTGCCACTCCTGCCACGATCTGCGAGCGTGTCACGGATAGAGGCCGCGCTGAGGGACCACCCTCTGCGCACCCCCTGTGGTGTCGAGAAAGCGCCACGCCACTCCTGCCACGATATGCGAGCGTGTCACGGATAGATGGCGCTCTGAGGGACCACCCTCTGCGCACCCCCTGTGGCAGTCGATGAAAGTGCCACTCCTCTTCCACCCGATCTTCGAGCGTGTGGACGGATAGAGGCCGCGTTGAGTGACCCCCTCTGCGCACGGCTTGCCGCCTGTGGGTGGTCGAGAAAGTGCCACTCCGCTGCCGTCGCGAGCGGGTCCACGTCATAGAGGCCGCGCTGATGGAACACCCTTTGCGCACCCTCCTGTGGTGTCGAGACGTGCCACTCCTGCCACGATCTGCGAGCGTGTCACGGATAGAGGCCGCGCTGAGGGACCACCCTCTGCACACCCCCTGTGGTGTCGAGAAAGTGCCACTCCTGCCACGATCTGCGAGCGTGTCACGGATAGAGGCCGCGCTGAGGGACCACCCTCTGCGCACCCCCTGTGGTGTCGAGACAGTGCCACTCCTGCCACGATCTGCGAGCGTGTCACGGATAGAGGCCGCGCTGAGGGACCACCCTCTGCGCACCCCCTGTGTCGAGGTGCCACATGCCACGATCTGCGAGCGTGTCACGGCTAGAGGCCGCGCTGAGGGACCACCCTCTGCGCACCCCCTCGGCTTCGAGAAAATGCCACTCCTGCCACGATCTGCGAGCGTGTCACGGATAGAGGCAGCGCTGAGGGACCACCCTCTGCGCACCCCCTGTGGTGTCGAGAAAGTGCCACGCCTGCCACGATCTGCGAGCGTGTCACGGATAGAGGCCGCGCTGAGGGACCACCCTTTGCGCACCCCCACCCCCTGTGGCGTCAAAGGAATGCCCTGTGTGGTATGCTGTGCTGTGCTGTGCTGTGCTGCTGTGCGGTGAACTGTGCTGTGCCGTGCCGTGCCGTGCCGTGCTGTGCTGTGCTGTGCTGTGCGAGAAGGAGAAGGGGAGGGGGGAGGTGTGAGACGCGGGTGCGGCGCGGCAGGGAAAAAAAACAGAACCCCACGAAACATGTGGGGAATTGATTTAGTTCATTGTGCAAGGGCTTGGGGGGCCGTTTAGGCGCGTCTTTCGGACCTCTTGGAGGCCTCTTGGGGGGCTCTTGGGGGCCTCTAGGGTGCCTCTTGGGAGCCTTTCGGGAATTGCGCCCGCTTGCTGCTTTTCCGGCACCGCGCGGTCAAGCATCGGAACGTAAAGGCGGCGGGAGCGGGCCGGCGGCGGAAGCTCAACGATGCCCTTGATGTCCAATGCGATCTGGAGCCCCTTAGCGGGATGCGCCAACGCTTCCGGGCTGGTGGGCGGGATTCGAATCAGTGCGGATGGGTTGCCAAGCAAGACCACCGACATCAACGGGCCGCCGATGAAGTCCGACTTGGCTCTGGTGTCGAAGCTCGGGGTCCGGAGCTCCCACACGGAGTTTGCCGTGAATTTTCTAAAGGCTTCGATTGCCGCATTCCGATTTGGAAACTGAAGGGCGCCCCGCCGAGCATGTATTGCGCGGGCGCGTTGGGCACCAAAGCGCAACTGAACTTCTGTGCCTCCACTTCTTCGTTCCTCGCTGTGAACGTGTGGTCAAGGACCTTCGGGTCGAGGACCCTCACGTACCACTTGGCGTACTTGGCCGTCTGG